TGCTTACCCAGTTTGTTCTGAGTTGCTCAGCCTCGGGAGACTCCCACCGACGCCTCCTACAACTCCAGGCCTCTCTTGTGCCCTGAGTCCAGCCAGGCTTGGCTTCTTCCACCTTTCCTTGGCTCTCCCAACCCCGGCTAAAACCCGGGCCCGTGCCAGGTCTGGGTGAAGCAGGGTAATGGACCGTCAGCAAGCTGCAGCACCCTAGAACCACCCACACTTACAAGTCAGGCTGGGGGAGGCTGTCCTGGACTGCGCTGCTTTTGTGGGAAAGGAAGCAAGTTTCGCAGAGGTTACCGCACAAGTGCGTAACATCAGGATGTGAGGCTGGATGTGAGCACCCTGACCGCTAGAAGCCTAACAGCAGAGCTCAGAGCCCAGGGTGTTGGGGTAGGGTCCGAACCGGGAAAGTGGTGCTGGCCTGGGCGGGGCCTCACTTCCCACCTGGCGCTGTTCTGGCCGCGGGCCAGGGAGGCCCTGGACTGTTCTTCCCCGGTGCCCTCATCACCTGAAGCTCCTGGTTGCTGCCGCAGGAGCGCAGCCCTCAGATGCCCGTTGCTTTCCTGGCTCAGCATGTCTCTCACGATTAATCATAAGAGACCGGGAAACGTTGAGAGCCGCAGCTCACTGGGCCGTCGCTGCTGATAGCTGGGCCAGCCTGTCTCACCTTGGACGAGGGTGTACAGCTGGGAACTGTATTTACTCTGAGGACAGGCGACTTCTGCTACTTCACCTCACCCCTTTAGGGCCAAACGCAGACGCAGCACCAAGATTCCCTGCTCCCTGACCACACCCAGAACTCCCTATAGGGGCCCATCTGAGGCTGAATACTCCAACGCACCCCAGGGTTCTGTGTCACCACTTTTTATCAGAGAGGGGTAGTGAGTGTTGGGGCTGTGCAAGGGTGGAGCAAGTCCTTGAGGTTCCGAGGGCCCAGCACGCCAGCCCCGTCCCAGCTCGCAGGCTGCAAGGCGTCCTCCCAGAGGGCCTCTTCCCAAGGTTCTGAAGAGGGTGGTCCCCACCCAGACCTCCTGGGGACTTGCCTGCCCACCGTGAGCTCTTCTGGCTGCTCCCGAGTCCAGGCCCTGCTCACCTGCCCTTCTCCCTCCAGAGTGTGCTGATTACCTCCACCCCGCATCAGCAGCCAGGCTGGAAGGCAGGCACCCGCACCGTCCAGAATCCCAGCCAGGGCATCGCAGTGCCTGTGGGCTTCCAGCTACCTTCGTAGGATCCGCAGGAGAACAGAGGACCCATGTGCTCAGCCAAGCACACACCTAGACCTGGGGCCAGTTGGTCAGCAAAAAGGGACCAAGTGGGGCACTGCGGAGTGTGTACGAGTGTGTGTGGGTCCAGCATCCTTCACGTGCTGAAGGTGACTCTCCCAAGAAGAGAGGAGGGGGCTGCCTCTCCACTCACCCCGTCTGGATCATCACCATCCTGCCCTGTGCCGTTCTGGAATTGCTCATCATGTTTTTGCAACCCGAATGAAAGAGTGCGTGCGTGAATCAGTGAGTGAACGATCTCTGGCTCACCCCTCCCCGGGATTATTCCAAAGCCACCGAGGCTCAGAAGTCACAGGACCGGTCTGGTGTCGTCGCACGGGCGGTGGGAGGAGGAGCCAGCCCTGGGTGCCCACCTGGCTGGAGGTAGCAGGACTTGTGATCGCGCCCCCTCTGCCACCTTCCAGACGGGAGTGGGATCCCGGGCCTGTCCACACACCCAGCTCACCCAACCTGTCGCTTGGCGAGCGACCCTTTTGCCCCTTACAATTTTCGCACAGCCGTGCTATCATTCCCTACCTGTCCTCCTGGCCACCCCACGTGGGAATTGACTGCTGATAGAGAGCAACATTTAAGTGCCCAGGGAAAAAAATCAATTCACTCGGTTCCAGTTTAATCCATCAGTTCCATTTCTGATAAATGTCCCCGTGCTGCGGTCACCACAGAGCTGCAGTGCCCAGCGGACATGACCCGCTAAGGTGGGAAAGCCGAACCAGGCAAAGGTCCAGTGGGCCTCCGCTCAAAGCCAACACGCCCACAGCCCTTCCTCTCCACACAGGTACACTGCAGCCCACACCTAGGCCCTGCTGGGCTGAGGAGAAAAGCCAGAGAGGAGCCATGCCTTCCTCTGTCGGGGGCCTCCATGGCCCCGGGCCAGAGGGCTGCTGGGGTGGGACGCCGCTGTTCTTCTGTGTTTAACAGGAACCAATGCCTCAGGACCCCTGCACACTCACCGTCAGCACTCTCCTGTAGTGCCCTCCACCCGAGCCTGTACACGGCTAGGCAGAGTGGCTGGACCACATGGCCAGTGCCCTGCTGCTGCCCTGGGCCCCTACCTTTCTTGGGCCCTGCTCCCCTGCCCTCCATCACACTCTCTCTCCTCAGACCCCTTCCCGTAAGCCCGGGCCTTGAAGCCACATGGAGTCCCAGGCAAAGCTGCTGAGGGACAGGGCCAAGCGGCCAGATGAAGGAAAAGGAGAGCCTGAGAACAGAGCAGCTCTGCCCCAGGAAGGAGCAGGGACCTGGAGCGCCTATCGAGCACCTGCTTCAGGCCCCAGGCATCCGGGCCTGTCTTACCGAAGGAAGTGGCTTTGTCCCTGCCCTGTCCACCCACTGCCCTCGCTGAGGGACCCACGTGGGCCTATGCTCTGGCCAGCTCCTCCCAGATCTAGGATGAGCCCCAAGACCCTCCCACTGTGGCCTCAGGAGGTGTTCGTGGCCCCCCCGCTCACAGCCTGTCCCATTCTGACCTCTCGTACCCCAGGCGTGCGGAGGTCAGACCCCAACCCTGCCCCTCTGCCGAGCCCAGAAGAGCTCAGCTCCCTCGCCACGAACCAGTAACACTGTTGGATTGGATTAATCAGGACATACAGCGGCCGCACAGGGCCCCACAGAGGAATGAGCCGGCGCTGGAGGGTGAGTGGATTAGACTCAGGGTCAATATTTGTGGAATTGAATTGAATCCGTCAACTGGGAGCCGCGTGTGTTCTGGGTACTTTTGCGGTTTCTGCCTCAGGCAGGAAAGATCCAGGACTTGGGCCTCACCCAGGCCACAGGGTGAAACTCTGGGGTAAGAGGCCTCGGGGCCCTGTGTCTTCCCGGGCACGCCAGGGTGCACCAGGGACAGGAAACCCTACAAGTGCTGACAAGGGGCAGGGGGTGGCTGTGGTTTCGGGCTGTGGAAAGTTGGCCCCCACCCGCAGGGACAGGGGGCCCCACCTCCCACTCCTGGTTCCTGGCTGGTCCTCTAGGAAATGGAATCTGGTTTCCTGCAGAGAGGGGCTGCAGGGATGAGGAGTGCACTGTGCTGGGTGCTGTTGGAGGGGGCCAGCGGGGTGTCAGTGTGGGGGCCAGGGCACAGCAGGAAGCCGGTCAGCTTGGGCTCATGGAAGGGGTTGCTGTGTCTCAGCGGAGGCTCCTGGCCGCTGCCCTCCCTCTGTAGCAGGAGGCCTGGTGAGACGGGGAGGGGAAAACTCAGCCACCCAAGACCCCACCCTGCCCCCAAACAGATTCTTCCCCGACGCTCGCTGCTTGGACCTGGGGGCGTCAGAGACCGATCTGCTGCCAGCTACTGCCCACCTTCAATTCCCAAAGCCCGGATTAGATTAGTCGTGTTTAAAACGTGGCAAAGCTGCTTGTATTTGAGCAAGCGCTCAGCAGATTATGCTAGGCCAAGGGCGTCTGCCTGAGCGCAGGGAGATGCAGGATGAAAACCTCACCGAACAAGTGTTAATTGAAAACAAACTCGGCGGATGACAGGCCCACCCATCGCTGGTGCAGTAAATGTTTCCTCATATGTGGGCTTGGAGGAGGGGGTGTCCCAAGGAGAGGACCAGAGGCAGGCCCAGGCCACTGGGCCCAAGGACACAGTGTAGAGCCAGTAAGGAGTATAGGGCCGTGGGTATCCAGGACTGCTCACAGGAGTGTGGACCTGACAGAAGGTGGCTTATGTCACCTTCTGTACCCATGGCTCAGTCTCTCTCTCTGTGACTCTCTCAGAAGCCCCGGTGTTCAGAGTGTATGACTGTTTTATTGTACATTCACTCCAGCAGCTAAGAACATCTGGGAGGCCAGTGGCGCCTAAGACAGCCCCTGTCCAGGGGCCCTGAACTCAAGTCTGAGCCCAGAAGGGCCACTGAGGCAGGTTGGATCTGAACTCTGCTTGGTGCAACAGAGCTTAAGGTACCAGGTAAGTGGGCTATGGACTGGTCCCCAGAGAAGACTCTGTGACCCTCCTCCTGGTCCTGTACCATACACTGGGCCCTGCATTAGAAAACTTGCCTGGGGAAGGGCACGGTGGTGCATGCAGGCGTATCATGCCTGCTACTTGAGAGGCTGAGGCTGGAGGATGGAAAGCTCAAGACCTGCCTGGGTAACTTACTGAGACTCTGTCTTAAAATTTTAAAAAGAACTGGGGATGTGGTTCCGTGGTAAGTACTTGTTTCTTAACAGTAGAGGGATTACTTTCATTTTGATGAAACAAAATTTTGCTTTCCTCCATACCAGCTCAGCCTCGAAAGGGTCACCTAGGCAAGTTTTCTTTCTTTCTGTTTTTCATTTTGGCTCTGAGAAAAAGGGCAGGATTATGCGCAACTGCAGGAGGAGCAGGCCCCAGGGGTAGGACAGGCCTGTGATCACTGAGAACCCTTTACAAATGAAACCCTCTTGGGAAGGAATTGTGCCTTGGGCAATCAAGGCTCCAGAGCCATTTTGCCCTGACGGGGGCGTCTAGCTGCCCCCAGGGCCTGTCTGGGGTGTGGAGGAGCACCCTGCCTCTGCCTCCTGGCTGGAGGGGGGTCTACAGGGAGAAATGGAGGAGAAGGAGTACACAGGAAGAGGCCAGATCCCTCTGCAGAGGTGGGTGCTCCGGGAGGGAGGCTGAGGCTAGCAGGAGGAGGAGTAGCTGAGAAAGCACCCAGTACCCGCACTACCCTCCACCTCCGCCCCAGCCCATCCGCCCAGCGATTCCCCCAGCGAGGCAAGGCCATCAATTATTCAGCTCTGCCTCTCAGCCTCCTCTTGCTCTCAGTTAGTACCTCGTAAAGCCAGGGAAGATAAATCTCTCCCCTGGCTTCTGCGGCCCTGACTGGGAGCAGGGTGAGCACGGGCGATGGCAGGCACTGGCCCCTGGTTCCTCCGGCCTCCTGGGGCCCTGAGCTGGCACAGTGCAACCCAGGCAGCCCTGTGAGCCTCCTCTGCTATTAAACCCATAATTCAGGGGAGACTGACAGAGTGAGGCGCACTCGGTCCCCGTGATGAGGAAAGAGCCGCCCATCCAAGAACTGCGAGAGAGGCTGAGGTGAGGGCTGACGCCGGTCACACGCAGGTCTCGGTTTTCAGGGGCTGCATTTAGATCTGGAGCCCAGGCCCTTCTCCCAAGGAATCTTGGAGCCCGGCTGCTCACAAGGAGACCGTGGAGGATTCTGCAAGGGCCAAAGCAGCCAAGAAACGAGCAAGGCAAGCAAGGAACAGGAGATGCCTGCGGGAAATGCTGAGCCTGTCTGCATGCTCTCAACCATACCCGGGATGCAGGGCGTGAATGCTGCTCCACACTCTGTGCAGCCAGAGAGGCCGCGGACCTTGGAGACCACTTGGGTGTGGTACTTGCAGCCTGAACCTCCAGAACGACACTTGTCCCCATGAAAACCGATGACTTGGACAACCTGACGTCTTGGAGGTCCAGGTCAGTCTCCCGCCCCAATACCCAGCCAGGTATATCCGGGAGAGGGTTTGTTGAGTGGCTGCGTCTTACCACCTCTCTTCAATCGGTATGAGCCTTGGGATGGCCCCAGCAGGAATGTGGGTAAAGGGTGCACAGTCCCGAGGCACCAAGACTGGGGTGGGCTGGGAGGAGCCCAGGGAGAGGTGAGATCAGCTCTTAGACCCCTGCCCTTGGCAGAGCCATGCCCACCCTGGCAGATTCTCTGCCCAGCTCTGCTCTAAACCTGCTGGTTACATAGAAAAACTTGGGGTCCAAGGATCCTGTCGCTCCAGGCCAGTGGAGGCTGGAAGAGAGGTGCTGGCTGACTGCCTCCCACCCCCAGGCCTCAATGTCCTCCCCAGAGCCGCCACAGGGCAGGGGCCATGACTGAGGTCACTGGGACTAGAGGGGCCTCGGAGTCCCTGGAATTAGCAGTAACGAGTTGATGGGCACGGGTGCAGGCCGTGTTGGGTGCTAATCGAGGCTGATAACTAACTTGACAAGCCAGAAAGTGCACAGCCCCTCCTGTGCCTGTCCATTAATCCTCTGTATATGGCACCTGCCCCGCCCTGCAGCGAACTGGTCACGTTTCAGCCGTAACAATGGCGCAGCTGTTGTGTGGGAGAAGCTGGGCCCACACAAGGGACATTGTGGTCCCAGGCTGGAGCTCAGGGTCTCCCCAGCCCCTCCAGATGGTCACCTGCTCCACTCGTGGGTCCTTCACCTGCACTGTTCCTGGGGTCTCCCTCACTTGCCACCTGGTAAGAAAAGAGCAGGGGCACCCAGAGATTGTCCCAGTCCTATTCCCAACAGATCAGGCTCTTTGAGACTCTACCTTGAACCTCTGCCTTCCAACACCACCTCTAGGACTTGGGCTCCCCCTGGTCCTTCCAGGAGGACAGCCCAGTCTGTCAGTCCATATCCAGCTATAGGTGCTACTCATGGTGCCGCACTGACCACCGGTACCCACTTCTGCCATGGCTTCAAGCCTTTCTCTGTGCAGCCAGCCCCGGCCAAAGCAGATCCATCCCCTCCCTTCCTCTAAGTCTCAACCTCTGGTAATGTGGCCAGGGCTGGTATCCAATCATTTGGGGGATGCATAGGACCCTGTAGCTAGTTCTGAGTTTCTTTCTTCTCAGTGACAAGATAAGCCCGAATTGTTGCATTTGTGGCTAAGGATGGGACCAGTCCATCGCTGTGGCTTCATCTTATCTGAGCCACACACCAGCCTTATCTTGGTCCCTATCTGTGCCTGGCTTGGAAATGGCTCTGCAGTGACCTAAGGATTGCTTGCTTTGCCTGCCTTAAGATGGCAGCTTACCCTGCAGGCCTGCTCCACATCCTGCAGAGATTCTCTGCAGGAGCAGGAGGCCGCGGAAGGAAGTGATGAAGTCCCTTCAGGAGAACTTCCTGCACCCTGCAGGAGCCAGCTCACTGCCCGGTTCCTAAAGCACAATGCTCAGTTTGACTCTATCACCCTCCACAGACTCCACTGCTAACAGAGTGGAAGACCCAAACGTCAGCATCGAAATTCATGTAGACCCCAAACTCCCTGAGGGGCTGCAGAGTGGGTCAGAAGCAAGAATAGAGCTTCGTGACAAAGGGGTCCAGGAAGTCCTTGGGAGAAGAGACTTCTGGAACACACCAGGAGGACCTCCCACCGCCAGGTCTTGTTCTGGGTGTGTGACTGATTATCTTTCTCCAGGTAGAGCAGCTAAGGCTTCAAGGTGGGCAGGGGCTCAGCTGGCATCTCTCATGTGGGCAGAGCTTGAATTTGCACCCAAGACCATCTGCAATGGAGCTTTACCCACACGCGTCCCCTGCGGGTGAGGACAAAAGCAGGGCCTCCTCAGAAGAGGCGGGCAGACACGGGTGTCCTCCTGTGGTGGCAGGGACCCAGGCGGACCAGGCAGAATGCGGTCAGTCTGCTCAGGGAACACCAAGGTCCTAACTCCTTGGGTATGTGTCCCTGCTGTCATGGGTTCTGTCCACGCCCGGACCCTCAACCCTCCCCGGTGGCCATTGTCCACACTGCGGACAGGATGAAGCACTCGCTGTGGTTTGGATTGGACGATTGATTGCGTGATTGATTGATGATTGATGGTGCTAGTGGGAACTGAACTCAGAACCATCACAGTGAGCTACGTCCCAGCCCTTGTGATTTTCATCCTTTGAGACAGGGTCTCGCTGATTCGCCCAGGCTGGGCTCAGATTTGTGATTCTCTGGTCTCAGCTCCTCAAGTAGCTAGGATTGCCGGTGTGTGTCACCACATCCAGCAGTGGCTGGGGTCCCAAATGCTCCCCCGAGGCTCAGATGTTGGAGGCTTGGTCCACAGCTGGTAGCAATGGTGAGAAAAGGGTGAAAACTCCCGGAAGTGGGGCTGAGCTGGAGGAAGTGGGTCATTCTGGACTGCACGGCCTTGAAGCGAGTACCCTAACCTCTGCCCGCTCCCCTCACCCCGCTTCCACGAAGTGAGTTTCCGTCTTTGTTTCATCTTGGCCTCTCTAGCTCACCACTTCCCCAGAACCAACGGAGTTAAAGCAGTGGTGGACCGAAACTTTTGAAACCGCGAGTCAAAATAAACCTTTCCCCTCTTGAGCTGTTTTCCTCAGGTATTGTGTCACCCTGAAGGACAGCTGACTGACCCACTTGGCAAAGCAAATGACCAACCACCCGAGCCCCGGTCTTTGGCGCTCCCGTTTGCACTCATCGTTCAAAGATCAGGTCCCATCCCCTCTCCGGGGGTCGGAGGTTTTGTCTCCTTCCTGTGAGGGCCGTCAAGTCAGACCGGAGGCTGCCCTGGGCTCGGGAGGGAGGTGCTGCCCCACCCAGTTCTGTGACGCGTCCCCTCGCATCCCACATGCCTCGTGTCCTGAACACCTTTCCCAGGACAGATGTGCCCCCACCCCAGTCAGGAATCTCTCCATGAGTGTTCTGGGGGCCCCAGCCCCTGGGTCCCTGACCCCACTCTATCTTGTTCCCACACAGGAAATGTCCACTTTCTTGCTTTTTGGGCCTGCGTTGTCTGCAGGTAGCCATGTCGGGGGCTTGGCCTCGGGAGGGGCAGTCTCCAGGCTGCTGAGAAAAGTGTGTGCAGGAAGGAAGGGAGGGAGGAAAGTTGGGAGGGAGGGAAGAGGGGGATAAAGGGAAAAAGAGCGGGAGACCCAAAGCCTCCAGTGGACCAGTGTGGGGTGGGGCGCGAACGTGGGGTGGAGGATAAAGCAGAGCTACCAGAACAGGACTTAAACCAGTGAACAGAACAGGAAGTAAACAGAGGCAAATATTTGCTGAATCCCTGGCGGGAAAGAACTTTCTAAGAATAAAATCAAAGATGAGCATCCTCTACATGAAAGCTAAAGGCTCAGGTGACTCAAAAAAAAAAACATCAAGGTAAAAGGCAAGCAATGAGTTGGGTAAATTTTTGAAGCCAGTGTGACCAAAAACGAATACCACTAACATGGTGTGAGCTGATCTGAAGGGAAGACGTCACAGAGGACGAGAGCGCACTGCAGAGGCGGCACAGGCGGCTGCGCTCCGGCCACTGAGGCGATGAGGAAGGCCCCACCGAGCACTGCTGGGAACACCAGGCCACTTCAGCAGGCCGCACAGAGGTCCCGCTCAGCCAAGGCCGCAGATCAGCAGGCCGGGCCTGGAGGTCGTGGGACAAGATGTGCCCAGGGTGATGCGATGCTCAGCCTTCAGCCCAGGGGCACCTCCTTCCGCACTCTGTGCTGCTCAGGTACTCGAGGGGCAGAGCTAACCACTGAGGCTCAGGTGGCAGCCACAGTGTCACTTATAACTGCGAAAAGACGGGGTCGGCTGCAACGGCCAACACTGGAAAAGCATCTCCGTCAGTGCTGGGGGAGCCACATCGGGGACCGCCGCCTGTACAAGTGTTGGCGATGGGACTCAGCAGCACGACACAGTTGCCCAGGATGCACAAGCTCAGAGTCACATACGAACGTGGGAGAAAGAGTGTGTGCCCAGCACAAAACTGAAAAGGGAAGAGAAACTGCATTAACCGTGAGGGTCTCCGTTACTTAAACTCATGAGACTGACAGAAAGGGATTCTTGGGGTTCCCCTGGCCAGAGTCAGGGAGGAGATACTGTACGATGATCGCTTTCCCCGGCTTGGGTTCTCTGTGCCCCTGAGGGGCAGCACAGAGCGGGAAGGACGGGAGGCCAGGGGTGCAGGTGCCCAGGTAGAAGGTGAATGAATAGATGGACAGACACAGGCACGGCGGGTGAGCGGGTGAGCGGGTCGGTGGCTCAGTGGACAGGTGGATACAGGGAGGATGCGCCCACCGTGAGTGGTGGGGTGGCTGGGGGGACAAACGGAGTTTTGGATGGATAGCTCAGCTGCTGGACAGGTAGAAGGACGGGTAGCGGAAAGGCTGGGGAAGGATGGGTTAGGCCCTCTGGCGGGTAAGGCTTAGCCACTGACCCTTCCCTGGACTCACCCTGTGCCCCTCCTGTTCAGGGCCTTCAGGGGCACACCTTTCCCCAGCACTGCAGTGGCAGACCAGCGCCCCGACCGGCCGTCCTCGGACCGCTCAGCATGCAGGAGGACTAGCCCCACGCGGCCGCTGTGCAGCTCGCCCGTGTCCCACAGCCAATCTTCAATCAGCCCCAAAGCCCCTGAATTCCCCACAGCTCGGCCCACAGCACGGCCGGCTTTGGGTGCCACTGGCTACATATATTGAACCTGAAGCATCGGATTGCATATTTGTTCAATAGCAATAAACTCCCCAAGTTTTATGGGGTCATAAAACCTCTGCCTCGGCTCCTACTTGGGCGGTGTGTAATGTACACAGGCGGGTTTCCCTGCTAATGGGGCAATGCGAGTGATCTGGGGCTATTAGCTGGAAACAGCACATCTGCATTTGCCAGATTCTCATCGATAAAGCGGCCCTGCAGGAGCACACCAGACTCAGCCTCGAAGTTCACGGGAAGGAGGCAGCAGAGAAAGTCAGAGCCGTGAGAAACGATTAGAGGCGGAGTAGAACAAACGGGGTGAATGTGCGAACGGAGGGCAAACGGCCTCTGCCCAGACACGGCCCACCCAGATGGCATCTCTGAGCTCACCCCCTCAGCCACCCCCTTCGGATGACGCGGGCCTCCTCCCAGGACTGTGTCCCCAGCCACACTCTCTGCGGAAGGGCAGGTCCAGGAGGGTGGGCGCTCAGAAGGGTGGGGTGGGGTGGGGCGTTCAGTGCTGGACACGGACTGAGAAGGGAATACAAGTCCCAGGCAGAGGCTGCCGTGTGTACAAAATCCCCAAAGCAGGGGAGCGGTGAGCGTGGGAGGACCCCACGGGCCCAGGGGCGTTCAGAGGCTTGGATTAGATTTGGGGACGTGATCAGAAAGATGCAGGGACGGGCCTGGCATGCGTGCGTGGCAGGGGTCAGCCGGAATGGCCCTGCCTCAGGATCACGGCTTGATGGGTTCTACCGCTGTGGGTCCCAGGGCCAGGGCGAGGCGCTGCGAGGGCAAGAGATGGAAGGAGGTGGCTTGGGAGGAGCTCCCACCTCAGGGGAGTAGGAACCCCAAGGGACAAAGTCCTCTCCCGCCTGCGCCTGCAGCTCTCACACGGAGGCCTGCTGGGGTCCTGGATGAGGACAGGAGAGGCAGCTGTGCGTCGGGGAGCTCAGCACAGGGAGGAACGCCCGGCTGCACCCTGCCTGTCAATCTCTTTGACTGTGACCAGGTGAGAGCTTACGGGCCAGTGCCTACCAAGCCCTCCCTGGCCCAGCCCCTCAGGCCGTGGCACCGGCACTCCAGACACACGGCCAGTCCTGTCTCAGACCCTGCCTGGCTCTTCCCAGGTGCTGGAGTTGGGCACGTGCATGACTTTGCCCTGATCCTTGTAACTTTGCTATCGACCCAAGTCCTCGGAAATGCATCGATTTACCCGAATCAATATTTATTGCAGCCTCGAAGGCTGGGGGCTGGGTGAGACCCGAGGCCTGGTGTGTGGGGCCATCCGGCCAAGCAGGCCTGGGGCTGGGGAGGCATCCACCTCACTGCCCCATCAGGCCCCTCCGCCCGGGGGACGGCCTGGGCAGGCAGATGCAGGGCCAGGGGCCGTGGGTTTCAGGTACCTAGACTGGTCTCGCTCACTCCTGAGACACCTGAATCCTATTCAAAGAGGCCTGTTTGCTTGTGTTGTGGAGCCAGGGGTGAGCGTCCAAGGATCCAAGCTACTCCAGCATTAATGTTTCCCGAGGGAAATGTTCCCTCTTAGAACCCACTCTGGAAGCCCGGGGGAGTTTGGGAGGTGTGGGCAGGCCTCAGTGTGGGGCCCTGGCACCCCCAACTGCCGGTCTGCTCAGGGAGCCTGGGCTGTCACTGTGCTCTAGACAGAGCCCCCTTCGCACTAGGCCTGGGGCCAGTTTTAGATGGTGGGTGAGGGTGGGGAGTGCACTCTGGAGCCCCCGATGCTCCAGCAGCGAGCTTCATCAGACCCACGAGGCTTCTCTCACCACCAGGGAGGTGGCAGGTCCTGAGGCGGCAGCTGCCCAGCCAGGTGGGGCTTCCTCTGGGCTGAAAGGTGCTGCTTAAGGGGCAAGGGGCTCCCATGGGGCACATTTGTTCCTTCCCGGGTGTAAACACTCCCACTAGACTCCAAGCTGGCAGTGGACGTGGAAGGGACTTGCCCCGATGGTCAGCCTTCACTCGCAGAGGCAGCTCGGCACGACCCAACCTGGGGCAAAGGGGCCCCGTGGCCGCTGCTCCCTGCGGGAAATGCTACAGCCCAGGGCTCACGGAGGGGAAAGGAGGAAACAGGAGGATGGGTAGGCCTTGGCCCGAACAGCACCAAGAAACCCAAGGCCCAGGACTTGCAGCTGAGTCCAGCGCTGGGTGAGGGACGCCGCGGGGGAGCAGCTGGTGGGGGCAGCACTCACGGCCTGTCAATCCCAGTCGTGGGTTCTCCGGCCCCGCCGGCCATCGGGATGGGCAGACGGGACCGACCCACCCATTCCTCTGAAGGCAGCGAACATCGACTGTCCCTGTAGTGTTGGCCACAGGCTGCCACAGGTCACCCCTGGGAAGAGCAATACCCTCCCCGTGCCCTCCTGCCCCACGACCATTTCTCTCCTTCCAAGGGTCCACAAGGGCCTGGAACCGGAACTGTGAGGAGCCACCCTGGGTAGCCCAGCTTCCCCAAAGACACTGCCGCGGGTTTCAGGCAGAGGACAGTCTGGTTGCTCTGTGACCTCTACAGGCTTTGAGCCTTTGGATCTCAAAACCTCAGCGCCCTAGACTGCAAGACACCCCAAGAGGCCAGGTAGGTAGACAGCGGGCTCCCTGAATATGCTCCCTTCCCTCTAGCCCAACTGGCCCCCAGCCCCTTACACAGGATGAGTGGAAGGAAGAGGGTGGCTGGGCCAAGGATGGAGAAGACAGCCCCGGCTACTAAGAGAAACTCCAAGGAGCAGAGGCAGGAGGTTTCCGGTGCAAACACAAACTCATCCAAGCCTTGCTGGGAGCCCCAGGGGGAGGGAATCCTGAGCAGCCACAGGTCTGGGACCATCGAGGAGCTGGCCAGCACGGAGGCGGCCAGAGTCAGGAGCTCTGCATGTATATCTGGAGGCCTCCTGGAGGAAGAGGCAGTGTCCTCTGTCATTGTGGGGTAGAGCTGGGTGAGGCAGGGACGGGTGAGACAGCACCAGCAAGGGTGTGGGTGGCCTTCGAGTGTGACCGAGGCGAACAGGCTCCGCCCCTTCAGGCTGGCTGATGGTCAGCCATCCAAGGTTCGCAGGAAGGTGTGCACACAACAGCTGCTCACATACCTTGGCAGAAAACAGGGCCCCTGGAGCAGGAAAGAGGAAGGATGTCCTAGGCACAGGCTAGGGAGACCCGCAGTGGGCAAAAACACCTGCCTGGCTGCCACAAGGCTAGGGAGACCCGCAGTGGGCAAAAACACCTGCCTGGCTGCCACCACCCCTGGGCCTATCACTGGGGAAGGTCAGTCCTGACGCAGATGTCACCTCCACACAGTGCGTCCTAGGAAATGTGATGAGGCCCCCCCAGCACCCAGCTCTTCTGAAGGCCACTCAGTACATGGAAACACGGTGAGACAGCAGGAGTGGAGGTGTTGGGTCTTCTACAACTCAGCGGCAGGGAGATTTCCAGAACCCAGCACATCCTCAAGAAGAGCATCCGGAGAGCGTGCCCAGGGTACACCTGCCACAGAGGCATGTTACTCACGTGACCCTGGGAGTTGGGTCAGAGGGTCACAGACAGGGTGGAGGACACGAACAGCTTCATGCTTTTTATTACAACCCATCCCTGTTAACCCTCACACCAGCCCTTGTGCGTCTCCACTGGGCACCTTGCCCAGCCTGTGATGCTGTACCACCCCCGCCCGACGCCACCCGCAGCATCTCCACGACCTCCAAGAGTAAAGAGTTATGGCTGCACACGAGGTAGCACCCTCAGTCTGGCGGGGAGTCTGATTCATCCAGCAGCAGCATCCGTGATCTTCTAGAAAGGTCCCTGCACGCCAGGGGTGGGGAGGTAGATGAGGAGCAAGGCCAGCTCCCCCGGAGTCTGCTGCCAGGAATCCACCTCAATCGGTGGCAACACGGGCCTGAACTTGGCATTTAAAGATCTGTCCTAGAGGCGTTTACGCCCGTGGCATCCCGTGCACGTCCTGCCCACAGCAGAGTGGCCAAGTGACACGGAGCCTCAGGGTCCCCAGAAGTAAGCCATGGGCCACAGACCATTTCCACCGAGGCTGGCTTTGCCGGCTCTAGCTTCAGCATACGGGAGTTTCACTTGTTTTGTGAGACTGTGCTGGGTCTGTCACCGACTCAGGGGCCGAGGGATTGGCAGGCAAGTGCTTGCTGGGCCCAAGTTTAAGGCCAGAGGTAACCATGAGACCCGAGGGAAGACAGGCCAGACAGGTTACTGCCACTGCCTCTGAGAGGAGCCTTTGGGGGGCGGGCAATCAGGGAGGCCTGGGCAGGTCCGCTTGTGTCCCTGGGAGGTCGTCGCCCCTCCCCAGCTCTTCTCCCACCCGTCTCCTCCCTGCTCACTTCCGCCCCGCCCCTAGCCGCCAAGCCCACCATCCACGCCACCCTGCATCTGCCCGCTGCCTCGCTGCTGTCTACTTGAGGGTTTTCTCCCAATGGATTTTTTTTAACTTAAGTGATTATATTTTGAAAGGAAGTCTTACAGCACCCTTGGAAATGGAAAACAAGCATCAAAGGCAGCAAAGAGAAGGTATCCTCAAAAACAGAATGAAAACAAAGCACGTCACGAAATCCCAGGAGGCTCAGGGCCTGCTGCAAACTCAGGCCCTTGCCTGACGGCTCTCCTCCACTCAACTCATAGGGAACTGCGGGCCCTGCTCACGCCTCAACTGCAGATCCTGGATCTGTCACACCCGGATCCTGGGTCTTGGCTCCGTATTGATTACCAGACCTTTGGAGGAAGGGGCTCGGTCTCAAAGCCCACCTAGGGAAAGCGTCCCACATGATGGTCAGAAAGTTCTTCCTTTAACCAGCGGAATATTCACTGAGCTCCACCTCTAAGCATTGCCTAGGAGGGCATGAAAAGCCTGCAACTTTACCCCAGTTCAGAGATGTCCCTGGGGGACTGAGAACCCCCACTTCTCCATTTCTTCCAGGCCCCAGAGACCTGGGTGGCCCAAGCTGACTCAAAGTCCCTACCCAGGGCCCTGGCCCAGCAGCGTTCACACCTGGGCTATGTGCTCGCTCTTAGATTCGCCTACATCTGGATGCTAAAGGCACTGAGGAGTCCCCAGAGGGGACAAGTGAACTTGTCTGAGCCGGTTTCCCAGGGATCCCTTCTCCCCAGGTCGGCCCTGGTCTGCAGGAGGACAGATGGGTGGGCGGCCCTCATTCAGCCACCTTAGCAGGAACGCTTCACTCAGACAGCAAGATGACCTGTACCCGAGTGACATCTGGCAGTCCTTGTGCTCAGCAAAACCATAAGCTACACCACTCCATTGATCCAGGCCAAGAGCTGCAGTTTCATTCAGTTTAGCCTGCCCCTCGGCCTGAGCTGGAGAGGCAGCTCCACCTCCAGCTCAGCCCGTAACAGCGTGCTCTCTGTAAATCTTCTCAGTGCCTCGGCACCGCCCCTCTGTCTGGCCTTGAATTCAGCAGGAAAAGAAAAGGGGAGACATTCCTCTCCTGCAGAGTGGGGCTCACGCTTGGGAAAGTCTCCTAGAGCCCAGACTCTCATCCCTCCCGCCCTAGCCCTGCCTCTCTCGGGCCTGGTTGGTGATATTGAGGAGGATGGGCTCATCTCTCAGGGCTCTGAGGTCTCCAAGTTCTGGGTCCCGACCTGCCCGTCAGGGTCCTATGACCTAATGAAGCTGCCTGAGGGGGCCTGGCCCACACATTCCCAGAGCACAGCATTCCCAGTGGGGCTTTCAGGATGGGAAGCTGTGTACGGGCAGAGGTTTGGAGAAGGGGCCCAGGTGGAAGAAGCAGTATTTGGAAAGCTGGCCAGCTGAAGGGCAGGTGCCAAGGGGGTTGGAAAGGAATCTGACAGGCCAGAGAAAGCAGAGATCAGGACGCAGATAAACATGGCCCAGGCCACCAGGTGGGGAGGGGCAGCTGCCCTAACCACTGCCGGGCCTACAGATCCGACCTGTCTTCCTCCCCGGCTCTGTCTTCAAGGCAGTACCCTTACCTGTTTGACAAGGAGGGAGCCGGGGCTGCGGCTGCTCCTCGGGCACGGCTCAGAGGAGGGAGGCTCATGCCCACCGCATGGAGCCCCTTCTTGGGAAGGAGGGCTCCCGTCAGGAGGCTGCAGTCGGAGCCCATGGCCCCAGCAGCACTGTGGTATGGACTCTGTCCAGGTCCTGAGGAATGTGCAAGGGTCGTGAGACCCCAAGGCCCAGGGCTGGGGGTAAATCCTCAGGGGACGGAGCAACGTCAGCTCTGACCCTCAGCACCTCATCCCTGGGCCCATGGGGGCCCTGTTGCTAAATGGCCTCTCGGCCTTCCCCATTGGGAGTTGGACCCACAGTGTGAGGGAGATGGCAAACTGGAGGTCAGCTGTGGAGCCAAAGGGAGGACAAAACTCAGAGGGATGTCGGTGAGTCATCTCTCAGAGTCACAGTCCAAAGCAGACCTCAGAGAGCTGTCCACATCCCGCAGTTGACAAGGGGCCAGGAAAGGAAGCGCCTGCTCCTGGCCTGCTGATCTGGAGTCCCGCAGCCCTCCAGACGTGCTCGCGCACCCTTGTGACCGGCTCCTTCTCACGGCTTCAGGCTGCTCTTCCTCGGGACCCTGTCACTCTGGAACCTGCTACCCGGTCCGCATGAGCCCCAGGGAAGTTCATCAGCCTCCGCCAGTCCCCACGATGAACCCTCCAACAGTCCCTGGACACAGACAAGAGGGCAATCCTTGGCCATTCGGCCCCAGCAGAAGTCCTCTCGTCCTACCCGTGGTGACAAGGGGCTGGCAGGACCTGGCCTGGTATAGTGAGAGCCTCCTTACCTCCTGGAGGGCACCTAAGAAACCCCATGAGCCAGGGACGCTAGACACCTGGTATCTGGCTGCGTCCGCTGGCCAGGCCCTGGAGGGGCTCATCCCATAGCCCACTTAGAGGATGGTCTCAGGCCCACAGGTCCGCACGAGGCAGCACTGACGGTAGAGACACAGAGGCCCAGGAAGTGGCAGAGACAGAGTTGAACCCAGGGCACAGCCCCAGCTAACCCCAGGCCTATGAATGAGTCTAACCCAAATGGTGGGGATACCTCCATTCACTCTGGGAAAGGCCAAGCCAGCAAGGGCACAGGCTGGGCTAGGTTTGTGACTGGGCCCAGCATGGCAGGAGGTGGCACAACGGGCAGCCACTGCAGCTTTGCACTTGTGATGGCCGTGCCACCAAGGTTGTGGCCGCCACCTCCACCTCCACTGAGGTCCCACAGCCACTTCCAGGAACTGACCCCAAGGAGGAGAACAGGAAGGCGCAGTGTTCTGGAACATTCTCTGCAGCCTCGTTTACAGCAGTGAGAAGCTAAGGGTCTGACAGAGAAAGAGAGTTCCCGAGGGAAAGATCCTCTCACCGGGTGCTCAGGTGGCCCCAGAAGCTACGTTTCTGGAGGCGCCGGTGCTGGGGGTGTGGGGGCGCCCCTGGCACAAGTGGCCCGTGGGACAGGCCCAGGAGAAATAGCCGGGATCGGCCCTTCTGGACCCTTCTAGTTTCTCTTCTCGGTTTTCTGGTTCATTGTTCCTATTTTCCATGGGAATAATGAAAAGAACAATTAAAAGTTCTGGCTGGGCTGGACAGGAGGAGTCTCTGTACCCCTGGGTCTCCACAGCACCCATATTAGGAGAAGAGATCAAGCAGGTTCAGCCCCAGCCTCAGTGCCCTAGCGCCCGCCAGCCCTACGTCTTTGTGCTTCTCGGAAGTCTTCTTCCACGCCCGGCTCAGGGCAGCTGGTGCCGCAGGGTGGGGGTCCACGTCCTGCCAAGAGCCATTTGTGCCTGCTGTGCACTGGGTACTCCCAGCAGGCTCCCCATGGGGGGCTTCCAAACAGCCGCCTGCCCCACCTCACCGGCGCTGAGCCTTCTGCGGTCTGAAGCCTCCCGGAGGCTCCGAGCAGAGGAGTCAGCATCAGCTGTGGAACCCAGGGCCAGATCTGATGCCCCCATCCCCTGGGAACCACATGCATCTTGACTCGGTGCCAAAGTCACTGCCCACACGGACACCTGAGCACAGCTGGGACAGGCCTGGAAGGTGGGTGGGCTTTTCCTGAGACTCTTCAGGTCTCGTTGCATCCTGACCAAGGAGGGACAGCACAGAGGAGACACGCCACTTAGTAGGGGCAGCCCCTTTGCAGAGCAGGCTTGGGGGTGTCCAGGGCCACGCAGGACCAGCCTGACTCACACGCGGAGCAGTACGGCTGATGGGTAAACTGAGGTACTGCCTGGTGGGGCCAGGTGGCCCAGGAAGCCTCCTGACCAAGGACGGAGCCAAGCACAGACCTTTAATCTGGTACTCTGCCGCCACCCGTTTCCCCCCCGTCACACAGCGCCATGCGGAGTTCACCTGTCACGCCTTCAGCCTCCTCTTCCAGCATGAACGGTTAGCTCTCAGGGAGCGTGGTGGCTGCTGCCGGCAAAGGCCCCCCCGGGAAATCATCGGATGCCAGTAAACCCCTTCAGACCCCATGGACCAGAGTGCACCATCGCTCTTCCACATCAGCAGGCCCACCACAGCCACACAGTGGCAAGGATAGGGCCTTCGTCC